ATCAGAAAGAGCTAAGCATAATAATGTTGGAAAAAATGGGTTTAGTGGCTGACTTTGGCATAAAATTTGAGTGAGACCGATTGATCCAATTTGGAATAGCAAAGTTGATCCGTATTTTCCTTCGTGAGAGTATCAAAATCATATATTTACTTACGAAAATCGATGAATGGATGAACGAGAAATTGGAGCTCAAAGTTGACCATTGGAAGATGGTTTATGTGGGAAAATAGAATTTGTCCCACATAGAAAAATGAAGAAAGCATGAACCACTTTATATATGATTACACTTTGGAAGGGTGTAATCGTGTGTAGCATAGAGGCACTCTCCACGGTCCAATTTGGAATAGCAAAGTTGATCCGTATTTTCCTTCGTGAGAGTATCAAAATCATATATTTACTTACAAAAATCGATGAATGGATGAACGAGAAATTGGAGCTCAAAGTTGACCATTGGAAGATGGTTTATGTGGGAAAATAGAATTTGTCCCACATAGGAAAATGAAGAAAGCATGAACCACTTTATATATGATTACACTTTGGAAGGGTGTAATCGTGTGTAGCATAGAGGCACTCTCCACGTACGCTAGTAGGGGGTAAATCAAGGATTGAAATAGTATATTAAGCCTTGAACTTGTGAGCGAGCACGACCTGAGTGCTCGAATGGTAAATCAAGGATTGAAATAGTATATTAAGCCTTGAACTTGTGAGCGAGCACGACCTGAGTGCTCGAATGTCAAATCGAACGGAGCAAAAAATTTTAAAACAGTCGAAACTCCAATATTCATTGTCGAGTTAATGACGTGACTCCTGGCCACTTAAGTCTTCATTACAACATATTTATTTGGCAATCCTTTTCCATTGCATTCACCAGGAAAATACACGCAAATTCTCTGTCTGCATAAATCATTTTCTGTCTACTGCATAGAATTTTTTCATCGGCATATATAGTTCCTGTCAAACTTTTGGGTGGTGATATTATTCGAATACTAAGTCAATTCATTTGAGTAATTTCTGCAGTGCTCAGATTCTACTGGTTTACTGTTGTATTTTGGAAAACAGACGCTCAGATTAAGGAAACTATTTTAAGCACTTATGGTAATGGGGCAAATCTGTTTTAAGGAAAATGTGCTCGTACAGGCCTTGAGTTGAAAGTTCATCCATCATTTATTTACTTTATGCGATTTTATCTTCATTGTTCGTATATTTCAGCAATTTATTCATGTGCTTCATAAAATTTGCAGTTTTATTATTTTGTCATTCTATTTATGTTTCAATTTGGTAAATGCAATTTTGGTATTTGTTAGTTACATGTACAGTATTTAACCTCACTGTTGATATGAAATGTGTAAAACAAATATGCAAAAATTCGGTATCTAAATTATATATACGGTATGTGTGAATTCGATTTTATCCACTACACTAATTTATTTCTACAAACATAAAACAGATTGTTAATATATATTGGTAGTAAACAAGTTTTTTATTTTGGTTTATTGGAAACTTATATTTGTTTCAATTTCAAAAATGGCTGTCAAACCAACCAACATGGATGTGACTCAAACTATTCCTACTGGAAATCAAGTTGTGGGCTCTACTGTGGCTCAAGTGCCAAGTTCTATTGTAGCTCAGCCTATAGCTAAGTTGCTAAGTCATGTTGTAAGTTAAACTGTGGCTCCAACAACTGGCCAAAATGTAATTGTTCTGATTAATCATGGAGAAAAATCAAAAAAATTCAGTGGCTTGAATTTCAAAAGGTGGCAGCAGAATATGCTATTTTACCCGACCACCTTGCATCTTGCGAGATTCTTGACTGAGGCGGCTCCAAAACTCAATGAAGGAGATGTTCAAGCAGTCAATGCACTTGATGCTTGGAAGCATTCAGATTTTTTGTGCCGAAACTACATTATGAACAGTTTAGCAGACACGCTATACAATGTGTATAGTACTATGAAAACTACTAAGGAGTTGTGAGAGGCTTTGGATCAAAAATATAAAATTGAGGATGTTGGAGCTAAAAAGTTCATTATCGACAAATTCTTAGATTATAAGATGTTGGACTCCAAACAGTTATCAATCAAGTGGAAGAACTCCAAGTGATTCTTCACGACATTTATGCCGAACGAATGATTTTGAGTGAAACCTTTCAAATGTCTGCAATCATTGAATAAGTGCCCCCCCACGTGAAAAGATTTGAAGAATTTTCTTAAGCACAAACGAAAGGAAATGAACATCGAATAACTAATTATTAAACTTCGAATTGAATAAGACAACAAGATTTTCAAAAAGAAGTTATTCAATCCTGGTGCTACAAAAATTAATGTTGTGGAGCATGGTTAAAATAGTAAGACCCATAAAAACAAGTCTGGGTAAGTCTGGGCCATCCGGTGGCAAAGAGCTAAGCTATGTCGAAAGGTGAAATTTCTAAGAAGAAATTTCAAGGAAAATGTTTCAATTGAGACAAAGTAGGCCACAGGTCTTTGGAGTGCAAATTGTCAAAGAAGAAGAAAAAAGTAAATATAGTTGATGATGTGTCAGAAATGAACATCGCAGCCGTAATTTTTGAAGTGAATATGGTGGGTTGAAACCCAAAAGAGTGGTGGATTGATATCGGTGCTATGAGGCATGTGTGCTTTGATAAAGAGATGTTTGCTACGTTCGAAGCAATTGAGAATCGCGAGAAGTTGTTCATGGAAAATTTAGCAACGTTTGAAATCAAGGGTCAAGGAAAGATGGTTCTGAAGATGACCTTGGGAAAGGAGCTGACTCTTAACAATGTACTGTATGTGTCGAAAATTTGCAAGACCTAGTGTCCGTGTTGCTTTTGAATAAGCATGATTTTTGCATTATATTTGAGTCAGACAAAGTTATTTTGTCAAAAAGTAGAATGTTTATCGGAAAATGTTATGTTTCCAATGGTATGTTTAAACTGAATATAATGGTTGTTAAACCAAAAATGAATAAAACAAACTCTTCTGCTTATTTACTTGAGTCTTTCAATTTGTGGCATGGTAGATTAAGACATGTTAACTAAGATACCTAGCATAGACTAGTTTAACTTGAATTGTATACCCGAATTCCACATTGACTCCAAATAAGTATGAAACTTGTGTTCGAACAAAATTGACAAGGTCATCCTTTAAATCAATTGAATGGAACACAAAATCACTTGATTTAATTCACAGCGACATATGTGATTTAAAATTTGTACAAACAAGAGGTGACAACAAGTATTTCATTACTTTTGTCGATGATAGCACAAAATACTGTTATTTGTATTTGCTAAAAAGTGAGAATGAAGTCATAGAGAATTTTATTCTCTGTAAGAATGAAGTTGAAACCCACTTAATAAGAAAATTAAGGTGTTAAGAAACGATTGAGGTGGTGAGTATGAATCACCATTTATTGAATTCTATGCTCAATAGGGAATCATACATGAAGCCACCGCACTTTATTCACCGCAACAAAATGGTGTTGTTGAAAGGAAAAATCGTACTTTAAAAGAAATGATGAATGCAATACTAGTAAGTTTTGGGTGACCTCTAAACATGTGGAGAGAAGTTGTGTTATCAGTAAATTACCTTTTAAATAAGGTGCCTCGAAAGAAAATAAAACAGGCCCCTTATGAGCTATGGAAATGAAGAAACTCTTTTTATAAATACTTATGAGTGTGGAGATGTCTTACTAAAGTTGTCGTTCCAACGTCAAAAAAGGTAAGATAAGGCCAAAAATAGTAGATTGCATCTTCATTGGCTTTGCACATAATAGTAGTACTTATCGGTTTCTTGTGTATGATTCTAAAATCCCAAACATACACAAAAACATGATATTGGAATAAAAAAATGCTTCATTCTTTGAACATGTATTTCCATTTAGGTCCAAAGAGGAAGCAAGCTCTTCTAAACGAACATATGAGACTATGATTGAAAATAGTCAGGACGAAGAACTAGAAGAGGAGATTGAGGTTAGACGTAACAAACGGGAACGGACAGAAAATTCTTGTGGTCCTTATTTTCTGACCTATATGCTAGAAAGTGAATCTCAAAGTTATCAAGAAATTGTGAATTCCTTGAAAGGACCTCAATGGAAAGAGCCATTAAAAGTGAAATAGATTTCATATTGTAACATCATACATGAGAGCTAGTGGATCTTCCTCCAGGAAGCAAACCTTAGGCTACAAATGGATTTTCAAAATGAAAACAGATAGAACTATCGAAAAGTATAAGACCAGATTAGTAATAAAATGTTACAAACAAAGGGAAGGCCTTGATTATTTTGATACGTATTCTCCAGTGACGAGAATAACATCTACTGGGGTGATACTTGCGTTTGCCGCTTTGCCAAATCTTGAAGTACATCAAATAAACTGCATTTTTAAATGGAGATTTAGAAGAAAAAATCTATATGGAACAACGTGAGGGATTTTCATCATCATGACATGAAAAGAAAGTCTGTAAATTGGTGAAATCACTGTATGGCTTGAAGCAAACACCCAAACAATGGCCTAAAAAATTTGATAATGTCATGATAGAAAGTGAATTTAAAATCGATGTGTGACAAATGTGTTTACATCAAAGACACTAAAGATGATTAAGTCATTTTATGTCTTTACGTTTACGATATGCTTATTGTTGGTAGTGACAATAAGATGGTTGAATCCACTAAAAATATGTTAAATTCGAGATTTGACATGAAAGATATGGGTTTAGCTGATATTATACTTAGAGTCAAAATCTCAAGAACAACAGATGGTCTTGTTCTAAGTCAGTCACATCATGTGGACAAAATTTTAGAAATGTTCAATAAG